GTGTTCTTCCTGCCTCTCTTCCAGTCCGAGACTTCGACCCCGACCTCAGCAGGCGGGCTTTCAGCGAGGGAGACGCCCTCGGAGGAAGGCGGGTACAGGTGTCAGACGACAGACGTGAGCTCAGCGTCACCGGGGGACACACCGACGCCAAGTCCAGGATTCAGGTCGGAGATCGCGCATATTAATGTGTGCTTTGTGAAGGCTGTTTAGTCACCCGTCATGTAAACCTCTGCTCTCCCTGCAGCTGCACGGGGGGTCTGTCCGGTCCGTTCCGGACTGGATGCGAACGGAGGGACTCCAACATAACAAGCAGCTCGGTTGGAGGGATTCCTGGCAGCGCCGGCCCGGGAAGGAGAAAGGAATGGTGGGAAAGTGCTGGAAACAAGCTATACACCATCGCCACGGACAGAACGATCAGCAAGCTGATGATGGAGTACAAACGCAGGAAACATCAGCAGCAGCAGCCGCAGCAAAGCCACGTCAACCTGTTCATGAAAGAGCAGGGCCGGGCGGCGGCGGGAGGAGGCGGCATCGGGGAGAGGAGGGGCCCAGTAGAGCCGCAGAGGCCCCCGCAGAGGCCTCAGCAGCTGGTGGACCAGCAGGGGCCCTCTCTGAGGCACTCGGTTAGTGCGGGGCCGGAGGTGCTGAGGCAGGAGAAAAGGCCGCGGTCGGGGTCCACCATCAGCTCCCACAGCATCTCGCTGAGAGACTCTGAGGCTCAGATACAGGCGAGTGTGTGTGTGGGCGACCAAAATCCTTGTCCCCACAAATTTGAAGGTCCCCTGTTTAAATCCTGTCGTATAAAGAAAGTTGGGTAAAAGTCTGATGTCTGTGCTCCTCCCTCTGCAGGCGTGGACCAACATGGTCCTGACCCTCCTGAACCAGGTCCTCCTACTGTCTGACTCCTCGTTCCTGGCGCTCCAGCCGGCGCTCTACCCCTGCCTCAGCCAGCTCTCCTGCCACGTGACCGACGCCCGCGTTCGCCAGGCCCTGCGCGAATGGCTGGGCCGGGTCGGCAGACTCTATGACATCATTGTGTGATGTCGCAGCGACGAAATGTGAAAGCAGCGGCCGGAGGCTGCAAAGTGTCGGTCAGTGAGGGACATGAACAGATGAAATCAGAAATGCTGCAGTAGATTTTAGGAGCTGGTGAATGATCGATGGTCAGGCAGTCATTAAGTGACGTCAGTATGAAGGATTTGTTTCCTGATGCAGGATACGGTACGAGGAATAAAAATGTAACAGGCTTCTCTATATTATTTGAAATGTTTCTCAGTAAATGTGCCGTCTGTGCTCTCAGTTCAACTGTTTCCTAAACCCTGAACAGTGCAAAGAAACAAACACGGAGCTCTTAAATGACATCTATGAGTTCTCAGTGTTTGAAGACTGATTGGCAGAATCCT